CAAAAAGCCGTGTAGCAAAAAGTCTGAGCGGGATAATTTTTAGCTTTTAGAAGCTCCCTACACCATTCAATTGAACAAATTTATGAGTGTTACACTGCAGTTTACTAGCATTCACCACGTAAAGGATCGCATTAGTTTTTTGTCCGTTTTTAAACAAAAATCAAACGAAACACTTCAGGCGACCAAAGAGCGCAAAAAGGAGCTCCAAACGGCCAAAATCTTAAAGACCCTCGAGTGACCTTGTTCCAAGATTGGTTATTAGGTTGGTTCAAGCCAAGTGAAATACTTTACCAATCATAACGGGAGGTGAAAAAAAAACTTATTCAGTCGAAAATCGACAGGTCAAAATTCGATAGAAATAGTAGAGATGGTAAGTTTTGAGCTCGGTGAAGAATTAAGAAAGATGTTTTTCGTCTTGTCACGAGCGTGGGACAAAGAAAACATTCTGAGTCCCAATGAGGAATCGAACCTCAGACCTTCGGATTTGCGCTCCGATGCTCCACCACTGAGCCAAAGAGACTCTTCGAATTCAAAATTGCTTCATTCATTTTCACTTCAGAATTCATCATGGCATTATTCATCTGCGAGCAATAATTATAACATTTCTCTTAACGGTCAAATCCTGTCAGTGATCCGCTTTCGATAAGGTACAGGCTCTGAATAGTGTATAATGCCATACTTTTAGGACAACGCCCTGATGATGCAGACTTTCAAAGGTTCATCCCCATTGTTAAAGACCGATTGTATGATTTGGATTTCAAACAGTATCATTACGTTCTTATTGCCAACAAAGTCCCTCCCAAGTACAGAGGAACTCCTCATTTATCTTTTCTCCAAAATATTCCTTGGATGGCTGTTTTTGACTTGTTTGATCCTGCCTCAAAGAAAGATGGATTACATTTTATTTGTAATGAGATGAATGACGCACCCAGAGCAAATATTACAACTCTGGATGACTTCAAAGACTTTTCGCCTGATTGGATTGATGACAAGAACTGCACTTTGTTCACAAAAGGAACGACTTGGATTTTTCAACCAGAGAATCTTCAAGACAAAGAATGGATCACGTGTTCAGCCAAGTACTATTTCTTCCATGCTCTGTCCGCTCTCAAGCAATACTCTCCTCTCAAGCGACTGATTGTTGTTATCCTTGGTCTTGGGGAGAACGCGATCACGGAGATGGCAGACATATCAGAGAGCTGTTTCACCATACTTGGTGGGGACGTGGCAAAGAAATGTGTTACCATCATCATTGAGAATGAGTCAGTTTTAGATGCATTAATGAAGGCTTCAAAACCAGCTTTACAAAAACGACTCAGAGATTGCTCTATTAGCAATATATCGTGGGAGTTACTGAAAGAAATTGTTCGCATGATGGTCGGACCTGCTGAGTTTCAGGAAAAAGGAGCTACTACGATACTCCCTTTCATCACAGGTCCCATAGAAGTACTTAACAAAATTATCCACTCCTGGGAGGATCTTGAAATTTATTGCCCAAATCCTCGATTAACAAATTCAACGGAAGAAATTGAAAAAGCAAGAGAGACATTCTACAAAGGAGGACAAGTCAGCCAGGTTAACTTGCTTCACAACCACAGCATTCAAAGGACCCACGAGGAAGAGCTAATTCAGAAGATCGAGCAAGCAGTCAATTCTTTGAAAGCATCAGCCCGTGATTCTTGCTCTGTAAGAACAATCACTCTTCTCTTTGAGCCAGGATCGGGAGCAACAACTCTATGCCGTAGAATTCTCTGGAGTAAACGCAAAGATTATCGTTGTGCTGTAATCAAGTCAATTTCAAAGACAACAACTGACTTTCAAATCTCAAAATTTCAAGCCTTTGGCTACGATGAACCTCACAGCATTTCACCTCCTGCTTTGATCCTCAGTGATAATTTCCCCGAGATCGACACACAAGGCTTGTCGGAGCGATTACAAGAGAGAGGAACAAAATGCGTTATGATCGCCACCTATCCTGTCGGAAAAACTGGTGCAGACACTACTTCAGATAGCAAACCACTGGGCCAACTGGATGAAGATGAAATGATCCTTGTAAAGGACATCCTTATCAATGTGACCAACGACAAGGGACGTCGAAGGGAGGCTGAAGAAGTGCTCGAGAGAGAAAGACGATTTATTTGGCTTGGATTGGAGCTCTTCGGTCGGGAGTATGTGAAGATTGAGGAACGAGTTCGTAATCACATCCAGAGCATTCTGTCTACCCTCGGAGATTCTCGTGACACACATGAGAGGCTGCTCCATTTTTGCTGCTTCCTCCATTTTTATAGTAATGGTGCAGACATCTTGCCTCACTCAGTTTTAGTTGACTTCCTTCAAGAAGAAAGTGTTGAGACAGATTCAGAGTGTGCTCAAGTGTCGTATATTCACGACAAATTCGGAGGTCTTATTCTCAATGAATTCAACGAAACTTACGGGTATCATGGCTGGCGACCTGCACACTCCCTTGTCAGCGAATTCGTCAAATCACAAATGAATGGGAAAGAAATTGCAGAACAACTTTTAGAACATGCCGATAGAGGAAAGGCTTACGTCAACAAATATTTAAAACAACAACTTTTCCAGATTCTGTTGCATCGTGAAAGGGTATCTAATGAAGCAACCATTCCGCATGAAGAGGACGTGGCTGAAGATGAAATGAGTACTAGTATCGAAACTGAAGAACAAGGATCTTATTATGTCCGCACCCGGTACTCCCCGCTGATACTGGAAATTCTAGGGGGAGAAGATGGCAACCGAAGAACATTAGATTTACTCATTACGGTTTGCCAAAAGGCAAGGAAAACGGAATATAAAGCGTTTGCCTGGCAGTATTTGGCAAGATTCATTGGTTATGAGATGCGATTCAAAAATTTTGATGGAGAGGACACTTTACACAGTCGTCTATTTGATGAAATGAATTTAAACAGAGAGGGGGGAGCCATGCAGTCCATGCCGGAAACTGGTATTCAAGCTGCCCACGTTGCAATTGATATCGCTATTAATCTACAACCCAAATATAGAAACCATTACACGACCAAAGGTGTTCTGTACATTCTACGCCTGAGAGACCTGAAAGCTGAATCTGGACATGATCTTGAGGCTTTAATGCCCGATGTCATTGACATAGGTCGCAAAGCACTGGAGGTGTATGATCACGTAATACCGGGAAAACACGGACACAACCTTTACTCCGTGATTGGCAAAATACAAGTCATTGTCCTCCTCCTAAAAATCGTGAAGTCCTTACCTTGCTTCTATCTGGAGAATAGCAGCTACACAAGGTATCTCGAAGGGGGAAAGATCCCAACAGGAATGGCAGACGTGCTTCCGCAAGAAGATCACAGCTTTATACAGAGCCTTGGTCAAATCACTCTGGACACACTTAACGAACTTTTTCAGGATGTCAAATACAAGCTGCTGACCACCTGTGATGAAAATGAAACAAGGCGCCTAAGCTGCACAAATGTCAGGGCATGCAAGTTGCGAAGAGAATTTTACGAGATCACTGAATTTGACCGAAGTGAGATGATGGATACCCAAGAGAACTTATCATCCCAGTCTAAAGAGGCAGCACTCCACCATAGGCAAGTGGTACAAGATGTCCTTTTCAGGGAAAATGAAACATCTTATAGTGCCTGGTGCAAGCTTGATGACGAGACAGTTTTGAGAATTTATAATCTCCTAAAACAAGTTTTTCAGCGGGGTCGTGGAAACCATGACGACATGGTGATTTTCTGTCGAGCCTGCCTACGTCTACAACAAACGAAAGTACCAGTTGACGAACTCGAGAGTGTTGTGCAGAAGTGGGTGAAGAGGAATCCTGATTCAGAGTGGGCGCATCTTTTTAACTATATGATCCATTTCCCAATTCCAAATGGAAGTTTGGCAACCAATACTTCAGAGGCATCAAAGTCTGTCGAAAAATGTTGGAGAAACGTTCGTCAGAGGAGAGGCATGGGTGCTCGTAAATCTGCCACAGAGTACTTTCTTGGAAATGGCATGGGGCTCTCTGCCATAGTCAGCCGTCAACAGTTCCCAGAGCTAGAGAAAAAGCTGGAATCAAAAACTGACTTCTGGAGAAGCAAAGAAGTATCTGAGACACTCTTGCGAGTACGAGGTCAAAAGAAGTCAAAGGGAATCATAACATATCACGGAATTCAACTTCATTTTGACGACTCACTTTATCCAAGAGAGAGTAAAGACGACCTCTGGTTTTATGTTGGCTTCTCAGTCGCTGGTCCTTATGCATTTGATCCTATCGACAAGGACACTTATAATTCCATCATGAACAGGAAGCAAGGGAAAAGAAGAACACCACACTCATCCATGAGGAAGTCAAAGTTTGGTGGTAATGCTGCAAAGAGTGTTGTTCCATCGAGAAGAAAAAACCAAAAGGTCAATCAGCTAAGAAGAATTCCTGCTAAAGTAGAAGCCCACACCTCTTTTCAGGACGGTAAAAAGCTACCAAGGGAACTTGCCTCCTGTCCATCTGGATCGGAAATCTACTCCCAGTCAGCCAATGAAGCTCTTGATTTGCCTTTAGCTGCCAGTAACGAGTCTCCGAAGTCTGGAATGACGGGTGCTTCAACAGGCACCCACAAAGACGGTGCAAATACCACTCAGATATGTACTTACGCAACTGTGGTAAAGCAAACAGCTGCAAAAACCCAGGCACAAGGTCTGAAACCTAGCCAGTTACCCGGCAGACAGACTTTGGTTCCTCAAAAAGGTGGCTCGTGGAAAGCCGTCGAAGGGACCCAGGGAGGAGTGACGCAGGAGTTCCAGCCAACACACGTTGATCAGGAAGGAAGACTGCACCATGGTTTTAAGGTTCTAGGGGCGTTTAAGTCTGTAGAATGCAGGATTCACAAAGGCCCTCGTTCCCTCCTTTCCGATATCGATGATTGTAGCTTTGCACATTCATGGAAGGGGGATACGCGGCAGTTTGTATGTATCGTGTGCACACGAGAAAGAAAGTGTTGCAGACAAAAAGAGGAACATAAAAAGTTTATTTGGGACTTAGGCCCGTATCTTAACGAAAACGGTACCTTATGGAAAAACCCTTACGTCTGATATGAATTAACATATTAAGGTACTCGTTCCTCGTAGTAATAGTAGAGGAATTTCGATTCAAAAGTTGATGTTTCTTAGAAATCGCCCTTTAGGTTATTGTAGGATGAAATCAGACAAAATCAAAAGCTCCTTTTGTTATCACGAAATAGCTTACAAGACCAAACGTTCCCCTGTCTTTGTATTAAGGCACAGAAGTAAACAAGCGGTAACATTTAACACATTCCATCAGTGGTTCTCTTTTACTGCATTCCTGACAGTTTTTGTGCACATCAATTTTAAACTTAAACATTAACATGCTAATCTAGGTTTGTAGTTTTACATTACTTTCTAGTAACAAAAGGATGTCATTTGACCTGTAAAATTGAATGGTTAACCTACAGGTAGTCAAAGCAGTAGTTCAAACAAACAACATTTATTGAAACGCTTTTCTTACTTTGATAGCTAGCCTGTTTTTGCTCGATTTAACGATCAGATTTCTCAAGGACCCAACTTAGCCTAAGTAAAACTTGAGTCCAAATTACAGATATCTCGTAGCAATAAAGCTGACATCGCTCTATCTTGTGGAGTGTTTTGTGCATTAGCAGTCAACCTCATTCCCAGGGTCTTTTTTATTCTCATGTCACTGCCCCCGTAGGGATTGCCGGAAGAAGACAAAGTGGGTATGACTGGCTTTGTCTTCAGAGTAAGTTCTTAAGGGTTTAACTTCTTTCACAAAGAAGAATCACTTCCATTGTTCTTCGCACCTACGGAAAATAGACTTGTCGTATTCTCAGGTTGCCAAACGCATCATCATCTGTAGTGTTTTCTTGTAAGTTCCTAAAAATTAACAACATAATTTTAGGTTAAAAATTTGTAAATCGAGTAAGCTATCCAGCTTCCTTTCAACAACAGATGAACATCAAGTAATGCTAATTGAGCCAAGCGATCCGTAAACTTTAAGCTGCCATATGCGGAAATTATTTTCAAAGAGGAATACTTTTAATTGTCTGAGCAACAATTTGGTAAAAACAGAAAAGACATTTACAGTCGAAATTTGAAAGACACCGCCAACCTCTCATTCACACGAAAATCAACGCTAATATCGTGGGAATTGTGAAAGCCTATTGCTACGTGTAACTGGTCGTGAGAATGAAAGACGAGGAAGAATTGTCACAGAAAGGGAACAAAAGACCAGATCGAGGAGATTTAAAGTCTATTGACAGAGGTGCTATGTAAAAGCTCGAAAGCTTTTCCCTTTTTTCAACATATGTGACATGATTGTAACTAGTACAAGTCAAAATCAAAGTCAACATAACAACGTTGTTTGGGCTTTTCGCCGAGTTGGTCTCTGTTTATTGAAGCTGGGGGGAGGAAAGTCCTCACCCTTCGTTTTCCAACTCGCGGGAAATATTTTGGGAAATTTAACAATATTACATTTCCCCAAATGCTGCTGTTCTGCTGCTTTCAAAAACATTTGCAAAAATAGTTACCTGCATCGGAATTTCAGTCATCTCGAACCGACGTTTTAACTGCAAAAGACAAAAATTTGCCAATCCGCAAAATAAAATTGCAGTTTTCATGCTACACAGCTTTCGTCATAGGAAATGTCGTTATTTTGATATATGCACAATAAACAAATATGAAGACTCTATGGAAACTTAGGAAAGGAAATTTTCAAAGTTCGAGGAATGAAATAGAACGCAAGTTACATCCAGATGGGTCTCCATCAGCGGTTGGTTAAAGTTTCGACTAGTATGTCCACTGGGATTCTTCCCTGATTCCTCCCTTCCCCCCTCCCCCTCCCCCCCCGGTTCACTGCCACTAGTAGACTCTTTGATGGAATAAGGTTAGGATATTTTCACCTTCATCAAAATCCAGCCTAATTTTAATGAGAGATCCAGAGTTCTTTATTACGACGACGCTAAAATAGACTCAGACGTCAGAAACGGAGCTTCCTTAAAGTTATCGCATATGTTCTCGTAATCGTGAGAACATATGATATCTCTAATGATCGTTCTTGTAATCATTGCAGCTTATCACCTTTGTTTGTCCGTTAAGGCTTGGGCTTGTCATTGTAGATTCTGTCGGTCTGCAACGAGGCAAATGATCGTTATCTAACGGAACTAACCACAAATAATTTCCAAAGCGCCTTTAGGGAGCAATATGATGATTGCTAAATCAAATTATTTATATTTCCTCCACACTAAGACGATAAACTACCAAGTGGACTACGAGATGAAAGCTCTAAGAGCCACAAGGATCACTGTTGGAAATACGACGATCAAGTCCACTGTTAACAATCTTTTCCTTACCCACAATCCGTTAGCCGGTTAAATACCATTCAATCTAAGGGGGGTCCCATGATGTCAGTGTTTTTCGTCCCTCCTCTCAAGGGGTTGCTTTTGGAAAACTATGGAAATCAATTGAAAAACTCGTAAAGGCCACTTTTTTCCTTGTAATCGTCGATGAAATAAAATAAGGAAGTATGGTATCCTAACTATTTTGTTCTTTTATTGATATTATCGAGTTCACCGGGAAAAAAGCCTGACCATCCTTGCAAAATTGGAGCAACCACGCAACGTGTAGCAAAGTTGGTGGAATGAACATTTTTTAAAACTTTATGTCACGTATATAGTAATTAACCTCTCTAAGCTCTCCAATAAAGTATTTCGAGAGAATCTTTTTTGCTTCCGTCGAGTGACCTATGTCGTGGAATACGGTGGTTGCATCCATACCTGCAACAGTTTTGAAAATGCTTAGTGTCATTCATTTCGGAGCTGAGTCTAGTGAAATACTACTCTTACGCATATTTTCGAAAGTGAAAAATGCCAGAAGAGGACCTCTTACGCCTAGCTCCTCATAACAACCGAAAGGTTAGCAGCTGTGTTCCCAACCCTTGCATTATACCAAATATTAAAGATTTGGAAAGTGCAAAAGAGCAGAATCAGCTATTCACTCACCTGCATGTTCCAATATTATTTCAAGTCCTCCAGGATGCTGAAACAATGATGTATAACACTTCTTTTAGGTTAATACTGGACTATAATTAAAATCGGTCTGACAAATGGGAGCTAAAAATCTTCAACCAAAGGCTTTGTAAGATCTAAGCGCTTGCTAGTCATTTTTCGTGTAATACGTATTTATTTATTTCGTCTTATATTTTTTCATACCTCATCGTTAAGGTTTTTGTACGTTTGTTTGCGTTTTTCTTAGTCAGGTACACCTTTTTCGCACGTTTCTCATACCACACGTTATTTCGCAGTCCTCTTGTATTTAAAGCCAGTTTCTTTTAGCATAATCACTATAAAGTCAATTTACTTCAGGAGTTGATATTATCTTAGTTTACCTAAAGTCAAGCTTGGCGCAGTTCTCTGTTTTAAAAGTCGATTTTACAATTATATATTGGGTGTTATCAATGTAAATATTTTTTCGTTTCGCTTTGTTTGTCTTGATTTTTTGTTTGTAGATTGTTTATCTTAATTAATTAACTTAAATCTTATTTATGTTTTAAGTTTCAACCTGCCACTATTACTGTAAGCTAATAAACAGTATCATTTCGAGCTGGAAAGATAACGTTTTCTGCCGTTACAGGCTGCACTACCAACAACTGGATTAATTACTCCTATACTTTAAAAACTTCAAAAATTGTATTTTGCAATTATTCATTATATCTGGTCGGGTGTCATAAGTTTTTCTCTGAAGAACTGAGCTCGAAAATTGATATTGCTAACCAAGTGGTTATCATCAATTTCGCAGGTAATAGACATTGTGCACTTTGGGTCTACAGAGCAGTAGTTTTCATTAAGGGTCACCGCAACTGTCGACGTGCATGGAACTAAGTTCCTCTCAGCACGACTTCTCGAAAAATGTTTACCATTCCGAAAAAATCGTTCGGAGACAAAAATGTTTGATATATTTAAAAATTTACGAATTCAACTCGGAGTTTTACCTCGTACAAGAAGTTAGTCAAATCATACACTTTATCCTGAATTACAATCCAACAGGAAGACACGTCGTTGTGGTATGAAACTTCCTCCAATGAGAACGTGTTTGGTTTCATCGGAATTATTGTCATCCTGTCACAGCCCGATAGTGTCAATTGCTAACAGCGAAGATACAAAAATATTTTAACCTAGAGGAAAGCGAAAAATAATGTGTCAACGGTAGCTAAGTTGAACGTAAACATGAAGACTAGTCTAAAGCGGGAAAACTTGTGGACGTCTGTCTCCTTCGCAAATGAATAATTATACATCGTTTTGATCCTTCCTTATCTGATTTACACCATCTTTAGAATTTTTTTTTCTTAAGGATGTCCATATTTAACCATTCAGTCGTCAAAGCTAAGTAAGAATTACTGTAGTAAATTCTGGAGCTAACGATGAACGATACATTGGCTATGATCTGGTGATCATAGGAGAAATGGATACGCGATCTCAATCACTGAGAAATTCCCAAGTGATAGGATTGGTACAATGTATTTTTTCTTCAAAGTGTTTAGGGATAATGTACACGTGCTTTAGTTGTAAGTCTTGTCACAGTGCAATTAGGTTAAGTACATGATATATCTACTGTGTTCTAATATTCCATATAAAGTACACAGGAATCATTTTTCCGGGTACGTTAGGTTTGTATTGTAACTTCTTCCGAACGAGAAACTTTTAAAACTCTTTTGTATCGTACCTGGCAACCAGAGGGAGTTTCTTTTTTCTAGTACCACAATCGTACTCCTTTCCAAAGAACCGTCAAAAATTAGCGTTTGAAAACGGAAAAGGCGCTCCGTAACTGACGAAAACTTACACGTTAAAGTATTGGTGGCTCCCATCAATTTTCAGCTATTGACGAGCTCTAAAAATATTTAAAATCATATAAAGCAGCGACCTGTGCTATGAATAATTGAACCATCAAACAATATACCGTAATCACTTGAAAGCAATGTTCATAGAAAGACTGATTGGTCGAACAGATATCTATAAAATAGACTAAGATAGGTCTTAGTTGTAAAGAATCAGTTCTCTAAACCAGCAACGGACCAAAAATACCAGTCATCTAAAATTTTCATGCAAATAATCTGCCACTTGAAACAAATCAAACCCCATTCAAGATAAATTTACACGACGGAATTTAATTGTTCGAATCACACAGCTAGCTATGAATAATTGAAAAGCGAGGTTTACTGTGCAAAACTGTATGGACGATAATGTGAAAATACTAAATTATGACAATAACTTGAGCGAAGGAACGGGAAGTATTTCCGGGAAACACAGCATACAACTGCAAGCCATATTGTTATTATTTTTTTTGTAAATGAGTTTACCGCAGAATCATGTATTTCATTAATACTTCCTTTTGCAGAGCTTGTGTCATTTCAAATCATATCGCTTTCCAGTGAAACTTACTAGCGCCGAAACACCAGCGGCGAAGCCCTCGATATTCGAGCTGGCAAGCGAAGTCAGGAACGTGCGATACCTGGCGGACTTATTAAGTGCTCAAATCGCCGCCAGCTCGAAGAGAGTCGGGCTTCGCTGCTTGTGTTGCATGATTTTGTCTCTTGGACTAGCCCTCTTTCTGAGCAACATGTCTCCCTTTGGATGGCAAAGTCGATGATGTATGACTCTCATGTGCAGCATGGGCAATTGCCTTAAATAAAATTACACATGTTCTCCCTGAATATGTTAGATGTGGATGGACGAGCAATACGAGAGAGGTAAATGTTGAGGGTTTCAAAGACATGGCGAGACGCCCCTAAGGAAAACGCTTTCCGTCTAGGTGAAAATAGCCCTTGCAAGGGTCGAAATAAATTTTAGAAGAACTTGGCTTTTGACGAGAATATATATGAATTGTTTGAATACCGAGAGGATATATCTGCATTCGCGCGACGACCACAAACAGGAAATTCTGCCCACAGGTAAGAAACACTCTCTACCTTAGTTACCGCACAACGTGCGTGTGAACATAACAGAGGTCCAATTCGTCTCTCTAACTGAGCCTCACTCGTTTGGAAAGGCCCATAATTGTGTGATTGCGAATTTCTTTTCTCGAAAATACATCGAAAGCTTCTGACTGATCCTATCATCAAATCAAATGGCGTCGTCATCGAATCGAGGTTTTCACCAGAATGATAGCTCACGTAAAAGTTGTTTAAAAAACTCAAGAGAATAAGTAAACTTGAAAATTCAGCTTCATCAAAGTTTTTGTTACACACGATACCAAGAAACAAAATATAGAAAGCGAAGAAATAGAAAACTTAGGATCTCTTTGCCAGACTAGGAATTTTATATTAATCAGTGATTTGATATCGAAAGAATGTTAAGTTGTCAAATCGTAACTGACTTAAAAAAATTACTTACAAGACAACCGCTCTTATCTCCTCAAAAACACCGTGAACCCATGCAACAACTGGTCGGAAATGTGGCCATAGTTACGAAAAATTGCCTAAGACTCCGGCCACCCTGTCTCCAGTCAGTTTGGCGGCACAAACGGTTGTAGAAATCGAGCAAAAGATGCTCGAACTCGATATCGCCATACTAGTGACTCCTGATCATAATAATCGAAGCCGAAAGTATCATCTAGGTACGATCAAAAAGAGTTATGTAATTCAAATCACAGAAAGGAGTTGCGTAATGCAACATAAGGGGCAGAGACAGCACAACACGAAAAAGGAACTGAGTTTTTCTATACAAAGGCAGATGGTCTAAATATAATTTTCAGTCAGGTGTCGCTCGAAAATTTAACACAAGATATAATTTTCTCTGCAGCAATTCAAAAGTTTCAGCTACTTCTCGTTACTCACCTTTGAAAGGTTTCCAACGAGTTTTCAAGAGTTGTAGTAACTGTAAAGCCCCTTCTCGATTAAAGCTTTGTCGTTTGCAAAATCATCAGCCATGTAAACGGGAGTTTGAACTGCGCCATGGCAATTTAAATTATTAGCTTGGATAACAAAAGGCCATATTGTTAGACGCGGCGCCAGTTATATTTATTCAAAAATTATTTCGATGAAAGGGTGTGTTGGAGGTGTGTCAACTCCTGTACGTTGATTGGCTAGAACAATTGTCATACAATCAAATACTGTCACGCAAGGTCAAGAGAGCTACACTTGAGAAACTTAAGCTAAGTTAGTCCTTTAGAGTCAGTGTCGATCCTCTTCATTCTAACAAATTCTCGTCCTTTCCTGAATTTATCTTTCCATCTTGATATTCTTAATGACAATCAGTGGTTTAGGAAAGTTTTGCGCGTTACGAAAAGAATTTCAAATTGTCTTGACCTATCTGAGAAAATCTACTATCCAAGAAAAATTTCAAGGCATGTTGAATGATCGAGGTGATTAACCCAGAAATGGAATCCTATTTCGTATATTCATTATGATAAAAGCACTTCGTCGCTCGATACCCTTAACATGTCTTAAGAGACTACAAATTTGATGCACATTATTTATTTTGTCAAAATACTCAACTGCAATCATGTATTCGTGGCGACCGATAGCACATGCAGATACAGTGAATGTGAAGGCAGGAAATGTTCCTTAACATTCATCTGTCCATTCAGTCAGATACGAATTTGTTTGTTTGCGTTGTAATTTGATAACCAAAGGTGTGCCTGTCCTAGTGCATGATGTATTCATCGCAATGAACCATTGCAATAACTGAAAAGAGTACCAAGGTGGTCAGTCAGCCAATTTTGAGCTTCAATCGGGTTTGGCCGGCCAGAAATAAATTGTATCAAAATAAGCAGTTCATTTTATTATGTGCCCAGGACAGTTCTTGCGCACAATCCAAAGGATATAAATTTATATCCAATGAGGCTTATAGAAGCCAGTAAAATGGTCATAATCTTGCTCACCTTGCTTTAAACGAAAGAGAAAACTTGAATTGCGACTCATATCTACATATTTTTCCCGAGAAAAAATTTAACCCCTGACTCTGGCATGCGACGTGGGAAAAATGATGATTCTTCCTGAGAACGGAGACAACAGATTCAAGACAATGACCTTGGAGCAGAGAGCAACGCCACCTTGTGGCTGAGCTGAACACCATACAAAATGAAAAATAATGTTATTTTAATTGGTTTCCCAAACAACTATCCAGCACAATACATTTTACACTGTTTAAAAAAGAGATCTAGCAAAACAGGCAAAAACAAAGATCCGAGAGTAATGCAAACACACAATTATTACGGCAGAACAATCATTATAATTTCTAGCTAATTTTGGACTAAAATCTTCTCGGAAGAGTTTCATTATTACTAGTCACTCACTTTAAAAATGCTTGTTAATTACATATTTTCAGTAAATGGGTCCCAAAACCTATTAAATACATTTTGCATGACTGCTATTAAATAATTATTACAGTGCCCTCTCACTTTTTTAAATAGAGCTTTGAAGGAGCTGACATTTGGATGTAGAGTTTAGATTTGTTTCAAACTCAGAGTTACCTATGAAGTAATAAATATACCGACATTTCTGTTTTCGTCAACTATACCCTGATAACCATAGAAATTGAAGCTTCTAACTAATGAATAGAACAACTTTATTATCTATATATATATATATATATATATGATTTTTCTTGATTGACAAAATAAAAAGCTCTCAAGTATATTTACTTCATATTTCATCATTAAAATATATTTTAGTTTTAATCCAACCCCAAATGTTACGAAATGAGAAAAAAAAGGTGTTTATTTAGGCACACTCAAAATGGCGACAACATTCTGAGGGAATCTGCACAGGCTTTGCTTTCATTATGCATGTCATGCGTCTATCTTTGAAACAACAGAAAAAAGTGACCGGTAATAGCCTCAATTTTAGGCCTTTCCTGGAATTTCCGTTACAGGGTAGCCTCGATTTCAGGCCCTTTCTCCCTAACACTTCCATTAATCAACAAAGAATAGAGATCCTGGAATCGAGGTTAGTGACAAGAGGGGAACGTATCAGCCCTGTCATGTAAGCATTCTATAAATAAGAATTTCAGCCTCTTATATTAGTTCAGTAAGGCAAAAAAATATCTTCTGATACTAGGGAATTATATCCGAGCTATTCTAAGAGCTGATTACATTTTGAAATACCATTTTGTAGCATAAAGCAAACAGGTGCTGGTGAGGGAAAGGGGGGTGGGGTAACAGTTGTCACAAGGTGATTGAAACTTATATCAATCGGATTCTCGATTACAGACGGTATTTAT